GTCAGTCAATTCCAACACAATTTCAGATCAACGTTCACCGGATCCGAGGGAATCACCGCATCCTCTCGGAGAGGCGCGCCTGGAGAAGCAACTACGCTAACTGCGCTCGTGGACAAGCGGTTCTTACGCTCACTAGGGCATCTGGCACCTACAGCGACGTGTCATCCTGTAACTTACCATTCCTCCACGTTCATTAAAATCCTGTTAAAAATTTTAAAATTCAAAATTCTTAGATCTAAAATTTCAAAAATTTGTTTTTGTCCAATTTTCAACAAATGCAGCACCTGCTTTTGGGGATTCAAGTAGCCGAAATGATGGAAGACTTCACCTAAAGCTCCGCGTACTTCTCCCCCAGCGAATGTCCCGGAACAACGGACCTCGCTTGGCGGACGGGAAACCACAGGACGCAGGCAGAGAGGGAGTGAACGGGAGTGGCAAGATCGGGACGAACGCTCTGTGAGACGCATCAAAGGCTTTCTCGTACTGTACTGTATGCAACCAGGTGCGGTACAGTACTTCACGCGCAGAACAGCAAATCAATGCGGCTGTAATTTCCGTGGAGCGCGTGTTCATCAGAATGATTAATATAAGAGAATCACGGTCTTAGTCCGTTTTCTTTTGAGGCAGTAATCGCATTGTGTTCAACTCTTGACGATGAGGTGGCGTAACTTTCACGTCGGACGAGTGTTTGGCGGTAAAGAGGCTCTGATGAACGTCGATCATCTTGCGGCTACGGTGCAAAACGCGCTCAGCAGTAGGAGGAATGAGTAGTGCGGTTTCGGCTTCAGAAATGCTTGTGTTCAGGCACAGAAAAACTATGACGGTCACCAAGTTGAGAAGAAGGAGCCCTGGAAACAAAGCACATTAAGTTTATCATCATACAAACACGTAAAGATCTATAGACTCATTGGAAGAGAACTGTTCAGAAATGAAGATCACTACGTCGCGGGACTTATCAATTTGAATATTATTTCAGTTCACCTCAAAATTGCCAGCAGGAATTGGCAAGAATATCTGGTTGTAACAATGCCTTAATTTAGCAAAAATGCATATGAAAAAATATTGCTTCACCAGCTAAAAAATTTGCGTTGGGAAGTTTTGAGCTGAAGATATAAACAAGCTTTTTTTCCTGGGAAAGAAAGTTCTTACTGTCCTTTGACATTAACGACTATAAGACCTATAATTTTAGTAATAACTTACTCAACTGTCTAACGACTTTAACCTGTTCCGTTCCCAAACAAATTATCGGGTTTATAATTAAAATAATAAGATTTTCCAGGGAATTCAGAGAGAGGGCCTTGAAAACATTTGTAAGAGGGAGGTTTGAATTTTGAACTATCAACATGAAGTTCAACTTGCATGAAAATAAATTTAGCAGGAAAAATCAATACAATGATAAGAATGACAGGAAACTGTAATTGCTGATATTCTGGATATTAAAATCATTATTGAATGAGTTGACAGATTGCTGAAATTGGACAAGGCAAGGGTTTGTTTAATAGCCCAAATATTAATTTTATTATTCCTACACATCAGGTTACTTTTTACTGCCTTTCTCTTTTGAGCAAAAAAAATACTGCAATGGCCAAAAGTTGAATGATGGAGGTGTGAGGATGAGGAAAGATTTCATCAAGCTTTAGGAAGATTTTTAATGCATGGATTTTCCAGGGAATTCAGAGAGAGGGCCTTGAAAACATTTGTAAGAGGGAGGTTTGAATTTTGAACTATCAACATGAAGTTCAACTTGCATGAAAATAAATTTAGCAGGAAAAATCAATACAATGATGATTTTCCAGGGAATTCAGAGAGAGGGCCTTGAAAACATTTGTAAGAGGGAGGTTTGAATTTTGAACTATCAACATGAAGTTCAACTTGCATGAAAATAAATTTAGCAGGAAAAATCAATACAATGAAACATTTGAGTGAGGGATAAAAAAGGACCAAAACAGAAAATGCATATACTGTACTGTATATAATAAGGGAATCATAGTGCAGTAAACTGTACCTCAATACTATATCATTAAATATATACATAAATTTATTTTGAGGAAAAATAAAGAAGGTGGCGATAACACCGTACTGTATATGCAATTCTGCGTCCCTGATGCAGCATCATCACTCACTTCATGAGTGATGATTGTAATAAAGGCTTGTTTCAATCTTAGTGTCAGTATAGATCACCGATGTTCAATAATGGCGTCACGCAACTACAGTATATATATATGATTCATAATATAAAAAGGTAGTATGTATATACTGTACGCAGTACCTGCTTCCTGTTTATAAAATAAGAGTACAGTATAGTAACGGCCGTGCATTGGCCATACTGATCCGCGAAAAACCATGGATGCACAAGCTCAAATCTTTTCAGATGAGCCGATCCGGGATCGGCTGACCCAATACTGCATGCCAGCGCGTCAGCCAAAACCCCAGCGTCCATTGCGTACAGGAGTGCCTAAAGTCATTCGGTTCCTATCGCCACCATCCTTATATAGCAGAGCTAATTAAGTTGAGCTATTATAATTGTGTTTCCTATACCTCACCACAAGAGCTAAGAATACTGTACAACTGAGTTGATCTCTGCTTGGTGTGCCATGTTGTACTTGTATTAGTTGTATACGGCAAAGGTCTACCCTGACCACTACCTGTTCATCATAGAGTTACAAGGAGGTGTCGCGAATATTTTAACGGATACATTAAATTAGACACGCTAGCTTTGGAGAACCCGAATTCCCCGACGAATTTAGTCTTTCATTTCTTATCTGTGTGGGAATCTCGGAAAACCTTGGTTCCCACAGTACAAGAGCTAAGAATACTGTACAACTGAGTTGATCTCTGCTTGGTGTGCCATGTTGTACTTGTATTAGTTGTATACGGCAAAGGTCTACCCTGACCACTACCTGTTCATCATAGAGTTACAAGGAGGGATGAAAACCTTAGTGCATCGATCATCTCTCTCCGATGATACTTTTGCTTGATGGCAATTTTTCTACTCTGACATTACGTATATGAAAAGCATAACTTGCTGAATCCGCGTGTATATCAACTTACCAAGAATTACAGCATTTCTGGATTCATCCATGGCCATCATCTTCGCTCGTTTTTCCCATAAATTTGCCAAAATGATCGTGACTGTACACATGCATAGGACGATGAGGAAAAGCCACGCGCAGAAATTCTCTGCCCCCTTCGGTTCCCGAACTGACGATGAGATGACAGACATTGGAACTTGGCTGTAACCTTTGCTCACAACAATTGTGACACAACGAATGGATTATTACAATGTAAATATTACGCACGGGTTAAATCGATGAAGGTTTTACTCACGCTTGTCGATGCATCATATACTGCATTCTTTATATCAGGAGTTCGTGTTTCATCATATAACTTCGAATTCTTCGGCAGGATGTACCATATACGTGCGGAAGAATATTGAGGTCCATCGATGAGCATTTATTTAATCCAATACCACATGCGAAGCCACGATCATGTATCAAGTACTGAGCTTTTAACTGTTCACATAAAGCACCGCTGACGACGAAACTGTTCACGAATACAGCAATACATTATTCATGCCACTGTTGATCGCACAAAATAGTTTTCATACGGGACGCTAAGGCGGTATATAAGGGAGGACACTCGGAGATACTCTTGCTAAAAAAAACGAATTTCTTCAGCACATGATAAGAAAAATGATTCAGAAGGGACCAATAGCAGTAATGCAATGGTTTACGAGGCAAACGCGCATTACTTCCCGATAAAATTTCAAATTTCCGATTCATACTAACCCAGGAGCGTGCATACGACCCATCTTCTCTGCTGCAAGGTGAGATGCTCACGTCGACACAGAACGTAATCCTGATGAGAAATATCCGAAGAATTACAAAAATCTTCAAACTCGAATGAGTTCGCGAACATGAAAGTTGCGTAATTTCGAACAATCGCACAGCGGGTCATTTTCATACTTCCAAAAACAGGGAATCACGAGTTATCGGGTAATTCGATTACGCTGCACAACACACATCAGTATATATACAGCAGTTGTCCTCATCCCTCCTTCCCGCTATCTGCACACCGCAGGTAGAGAACTAGAGATGGGGGCACTGAGTTTCATGCTTCAGCGACATCTAAAAACAAAAAATGTTACTTCAACCCATGCCTTCTCATTATTTACTGTGCGACATGTTCCCCATTCAGCCTGTTCACAGTGCAGTACAGTATCTCATATTGTAGAGTTTAGTTCAACAGCATTACAAAAACGAATTGTTTGACAAACTCACAACTCTTTATAGAACACGAAAGAGTTGTGCAGGAAACACAAAATTTCTTACAGAGCAATTATATACACGGCAATATTTAGCATGGAACCGCACGCTGACTATTACACAGTATTGTTCAGCTGATACAATATATAGGTAACAGGTACGGTATGGTGCGATTTTACAACAGTAGAAATTCCTAGCAACCATTGACGAACACCAACTTTCGATTGCGCGGGTCATTGAACGCATTTCTCAGCGATTGTCCCCGAGAAACCGTGTTGCAAGAGAGAAAGTAAATTGCTTCCAAGTTCTAATTACCGGAACCTAACTTCTCACTTGGAAACAGACATGCGTGGTTTGGTCATTGCTTAGTAGATGTCGCTAAAAATGTGATTTTTACGAATGCTCTATGATCATGACATGGCTTCTTACTCAGTGTCATACGTAGCTGATCAGGGAAATTGTCGACCAGAGTGAATGCCAAAATCTATAGTGACCGACTCCGTGATAACCCGTGCTATTATCGTCGGAGATCATGTTCCGGTCCGTTGTATTCTCTATTTACGGTGTGCGGATAGCGGGAAGGAGGATAACTGTATTGTGTGTTGTGCAGCGTAATCGAATCACCTGATAACTCTTGATTCCATGGTGGAAGTATGAAAATGACCGATGTGCGATTGTTCGAAATTACATGACTGTCATGTTCGTGAACTTATTCGAATTGGAAGATTTTTTTTAATGCGTCGGCTATTTCTCATCAGGATTGCGTTCTGTGTCGACGTGAGCATCTCACCTTGCAGCAGAGAAGATGGGTCGTATGCACGCTCCTGGGTTAGTATGAATCGGAAAGTTGAAATTTTACCGGGAAGTAATGCGTTTGCCTCGTAAACCATTGCATTACTGCTATTGGTCACTTCTGAATCGTTTTTTTTTTGTCTTATGTACTGAAAGAACTTCGTTTTTTTTAGCAAGGGTATCTCCCAGAGTGCCCTCCCTTACCGCCGTAGCGTCCCGACGTGGCTGAAACTTTCCACCGACGACGTCAAAGAGCATATTTACAAGCTGTCCAAGAAGGGCTTAACTCCATCACAAATTGGTATGGAAAATCAATTCATCGACATTATGGATATTTGTTACGAATTCAACCTTTCAGGTGTCATCTTGAGGGATAACCATGGCGTGGCTCAGGTGCGGTTCGTCACTGGTAACAAGATTCTTCGCATCCTGAAATCTAAGGGCTTGGCTCCTTCGATCCCGGAGGATTTGTACTATTTGATCAAGAAGGCCGTCGCCATCAGAAAACATCTTGAACGTAACAGGTTAGTAAATCTTGATATTTCGTTGACCTTTTGAATCTCAAGATTGTGTGTTCATCCGCTCGGCAGGAAGGATCGTGACTCGAAATTCCGTTTGATCCTTGTGGAGTCCCGTATTCATCGCCTCGCGCGTTATTACAAGCGAAAGGCAATTCTGGCGCCGAACTGGAAATACGAGTCCAGCACTGCGTCCGCCCTTGTTGCTTGAAGTGCTCGCTTTCATTTTACTCGAGAGAAGATTTTCGCCTGTTGAGTAAATGAATGTTCCCTTCTTGGGTGCGAAAAACACCTGAGTTCGTTCATTGAAATTTTTTCAATCTTCTGTCGCAGTCGTTTCCAACCTCATGACATTTTTTACCAGTTAGGCTTCAACTCATAGAATTTCGTAACTTACATCTGCCGAATCTCCGACGGAAGATACAGGCTTTAATTTTACTGTTTTTCAATCGTCCAAACTCCATTCAAGGGTCCTTCGATCTTTCATTCAATGTGTCTGAATATGTGCGATTATTTCTCCGGTAGTAGCGATGTACGAAGTGCGTGTTTTTTGATTATAATGAATCTGAGAAGCAGAGGTTTGGACCCGCTCATCAAATTCTTTTGTTTTGAGCCGGTGGTAACGGAGCCGGTATGTTCCCCACTCCTTCTCGTATCTAAATTTTTGCATTTTGAAACGCGTGTGATGCGTCGTTCATGTCAAATGAACAGGGTTATTGCTATAGTGTGAGGAACAGGGTTAGTTACTGTCGAATCGTCGAAAATCTGGGAAAGTCCTCCCCACTTGTTCCCGTTGGTTTTTTTGGCACATGATCGTAGTTCCCTAGAACTGCCGTTTATAAATTCATTTTTTCGTGGGCTCAGTAGGATGGAGCTGAATTATTAGTACCGGAGACGGAAGCAGCGTGAGTACTTTTTTCATTCTTCTGCTGTGAGACTTCGAATTTTCAATGCTTGCATCCATAGCAGGTGCGAAACGGGACCTAGAATCCGGAGTTTGGAAGGCGCTGAGAAGCAGAAGTGGATCAACCATATCCTACTACATAAGTTGAAATCAATTGAGGCACTAACTTAGAACCTCCCCCAAATGATCCCGTAGATGAGTAAATAATTAAATCAGAGCAGCTTTTTGGTGTTGCTTGGAAAATGGATCAAGGTCTTTTTTCATCCATTCATGAAACAGAGGAATGAAGAATTCCAGGAAGTTGCAATCTGGGTGATTCTGGGTCTTGACTGTGCTGAGAGGATGCTGCATTGGAAGCAAGGGTTCCTTTGCCCAATTAGTACATGAAGTTACATTCCTTTTTTCTTGAGTCCCCAAATATTAGCTCAAGTCATACAGAAAATATAAGTTGAACAGGTTTGTGAGAAAACGTCTTCTCGTCAAGGAGGTCTATGATTGATGGGTCTTGAAACAATACAAAGGTTTGTCACATTCAGGTGTGTATACCCAATTCCTGAACTATCCATCAAAAGTATCCTTGTAACCTTGCCAAAATTCACAGAAATTTACGATGCAAGCACAGTACAGATTGTAAATTGGAAAGACTCAATGGTGGCTTTTAATCTACTGTATTTCCAAACTCAGAACGAGAATGTCCTTTTAATGAATTTTGCCTAAATTTTGATATTGCTGTCACTGATGGACTATCTACATACGTCACCAATTTTATCTACCATAAATATGATGTATCTGTAAAACAACTATTTTTGGTTCAATAAGGGATTTTTCTACCAATTGCCTGGGATTCTGCGAGAACAAAAATTATATTGCTGTGGTAGTGTGAGTCCACCTGTGTGCAGAATAATGTATTTGCTTCATGATCAAAAGAGGCTCTGGTATGACTCACTGCCCCTCAGCTTGCCTCTGCTTCACATCACTGCTGTCACAGCAGTTATATGATGTTGCAGTTGATAATTCTTGGTAACATGAAAAAGCAATTGGAATTTCTCGCAAATTTTACGTACTTCACAGCCACATCACACAAAAGATGTGAAAATGGAACAATTGAAATAAGATCGAAAAATTACCGAAAACGAACGATTGTACTTCATACTGTATATGAACAAATATGCCGTTAGTTATTAGATGCGTGCAAAAATTTCTTTGAAACTCATAGTGGAGTCTTAAGGAATTTAAACTGTTGTTTATTCTTCTCATATGATGGGTCTGAGTTTCACAGCATTGATGATTTTCTTCAGTTTCTCAGCTTTTTCTGCCTAAAATCGTTTTTGACTGTACCTCTCATAAGCTTCGATTGCTTCACATTACAGTTTTATTGCCGGATAAATGCGTTTTTGAAGTATGAAATCATTCGTTTGTATTAACGTACACTTGAGCTTTGGTCTAGCGAAGAATAAATTTTTATTCACAGTTTCGAAAAATATCAGAACAATTTTAACGTCGTGGTGACGAGTTTTGGCTAGACATTTGTTCTGTGTAAATTGTATTCCTATCGTTTGTCCGCTGCAAAAACCGGGCATAGTTTTAAATAACGGGTTAATCGTTTGATTCCGTTAACAATTTGAATTGTCCCGTACCATGACGATTTCTTATCTCCAGAATTTTCTGTGTCGGCCTGCAGTACTTCTTTCATCTCCCGTGATTGTTGATTATTCATGTATGATCAGTTTTACGTTCGTTTTTTAAATGAATTGAAATTATCTTGTTGAATCTGAGTTCTAAATTTACATGAATTCCACTGACGATTAATTTGAAATTCAAGTTTCTAATTTCTTTGATTTCATTTCGAATTGTGATTTCCAATTACATATACACGCTCCCTTGGTCAATTACTCAGTAAACTTTTTTCAAGTCCCTATGTGAATTCCCTGAAAAATAATGCATCAAAAATCTCCAGCTAACTAGACGGCTGACCCCTGAAACCTCCAACATGAGTCAAATTTTCGGGAATAATTTAAGCTAACATGGTATTTTATTGATACAGGAAAGAAATTTTGATGAAAGTGTAACATATTTGATGGGCCAATTGAGAAAATTAACCCTTGTCTTCAAATTCAACATCCTGTCAACTGGTCAAGGAAATAATTAAAGACCTCGAATACGACTATAAATCACAAATTACAATTTCCGCAATTTTTAAGTCTTAATTTCTTCCACCAACAAAAATGTTGGTTCCCTAGCCGGAAACGTCTCTAATCGATATGTTTGCTATTCCCTAGAAGTTGAATATGGAGAGATTTAAACGTATTCAGTTTTTTTTTCAATAAGAATTTTTTTACGTCACCATTGTTTCCACCTCCGCCATCTCTTCGAGATTTCGGGAGCCGTGGATGCCACCCTACGTTATATAATGCTGTTGATAAATCCCAAGTGAGCATTACTCACAGTTGGGGTCCAGAAAGCGACGCAAATCTCAAGGAGACTCGAGAGGTTTTGTGTGCTATCAAGGACGAATGGGTGTTCGTTCGCGAAGGTCTCATCAGAAGACCAACGAGGTCATCTGGGCTCGGGCTAATGACCATCATGCCTCGCAATCAGCCATGGATGGCAGATTCTTGGACGAAGTGTACGTGCCAGTATTTGAGCGATCTGTTTCTTTCCAGTCTCGGGGGGCACAGCATGTTACCTTTCGTTTCTTTGTGTAGAAAATCGAACTAATTTTGCGCCGGAAATCATTCCCTGTCTTCGATAAATGAAAGAGAGTTCCTCTGAAAAGAAAAAAATTCGCTGAAATGAGTCATGATTTCAGTATCGTTCCTAAAGAATGCTAAAAGAATCCAGGAAAAGGTAGAATTACTAAATTTTATACCATCAACATACTGATAATTCTGAGAGCCCCCCACGTTTGCCCATTCAAAATGAAGATCATGGAATGTGGAAAATTACTGAATTCGGAACACAGAAACCTGTACGATTCAGAACTGCCAACATGTCATATTCCGAGAATGCGCCTTGCATGGAAATTAAACAACCAGCGATGAAGAAGAATGAAGAAAGCATTTGATTGGTGACGATTTTGTTTTACGTACTGTTTTCCCTGATTTAGCCTTCCGTTCGAATCCAGGCACTTTTGGTTTTTACGTTTTACTTCTCTTTCTCGAGGATGGGGTCATCTAATTCTAAATCAGTCGCAACATCGCCCAAGGTCTCTTATGTGCGTGACCCCGGCAAGAGCTTTTCCCCTCAATGCCTCGCAGTTATTTGTCCTTCCAGAACCTCCTGATGGAGGTCGTTTCATTATGATCAGGGTGGGAGGACCAAAGGAATTTCGGGTTTATTCTGTTTTGCATGTTCGTCATCGCGTCATTCAGTGTCAGGGAGCGGTCTTGGGAACTCCCTGCACGAGCGATCGCAGGATCCCTTATTTCTCCATAGTGCGTCAACATTGTCTACAGTTGCAGTTCGTCGTCATTGAATCATTTTCAAAATTCAAGCGGATCGATGTTTGAGTCTGGTAGTGACTCGCAGCGGCTTGTGCGATGTCAGCTCGAACAAAACTTGAGATCATTTCGGCTCTAGAATTGGCGGATACCCCTGTGTATCTTGAATTGCTTTTGATTTCGGTGGTGATTTTTGAAATCGAAGAAAAAATTATTGAACCATTAACGGTTTCGTTCCAGGGAAGGGAGAAAAGCCCGTGCTGTTTTGGTGAGGACTCACCGTTAACGTTTGACGCGGACTGCGAAACTCGGGAAAATGGAAAAAGTAAGACTTCTAAAATTCGTCATTTTCGTTGAAACAGAATTCTGGAATTTAATCAATGATAAATCAACTAGATTTTGAGAAGTCATTCGAAGAATCCGTGTAAACAGTATGCTTAATCCAAAAATTAGAGATAGGTTAATTCACGGGCAATAATGACGTAGTCCATGATGTTTCAGATCGCATATACATTATATTTTTGCTCAATGGAGTACATGTATCTCTAGAATCCTTCAGAAAAATCCGATCGCAGATTAATTCCAACTTCGTCATTGCATTTTTTAAAAAGGTTTCACTAATTTGAAATGTTGTCAAAGTTATTTTTGAGACCAATTTGTTACCATGTTATAAATCTCTGCTTCGGCTCAAATTACGTAATGTTCTCGTATCCGCGTGGAAAAGAATGAAATGAGAAATCTCTGTCATCCGGGAAAGGTTGATTTATTGCTCCCAATTGTAAAGTTGTCTCTATCACATGGTCTTGGACTCAAGTTTATATCGTTGAATTTCACTTCACGTATGGCCCACATTGTTCATCCATTTTCAGATGTCGAGATTAATTCTCATCTTTGCCGCCGTCTCTTGCATTTCTGCTGACACTTCTGGTGGTGGTGGTTCGCACGATCACGCTCATGGTTCTACTGCACATGCTCCTCCGCCTCAACCCAAGCCACTTGGTGAGTTCCTTGGTGAACCGGTCAGACTTCTCATCCCCGTTGTCCCTCGTGAGTTTTTTGCTCCTGTGCTCCATTTCTGCAAAATTTGGAAGTTTCTTTCAAGATCACTCTTTGTGACATGAAATGATACATTTACAATGCTGTATTGTATATTCTTCGGGGCATTTTAAGTGTTTTTATTTTTGAAAATCGCCCAAACAGTTGAAAATTCAGCATACCGAGAAAAATGGTTTATTTTGAAGGACTCAGTGCAGTTTATTTTATCAAAATTTGGCTGACTAGAAAACTAATGCAATTTCGCGGATTCTAATCATGCGTATTTGATTCACTGTCGATTATATTTAATTTTCCAACTTTCTTTGGTCAATCGGGTTGCTTCCAACGAATGGCGCTGCATTACTGTCATGAAATGAAATGTCATGAAGAACTAGATGCGATGTAAAATTAGAGGGTGATTTTGAAGAAACCCTTCTTGCAAATGGAGCATTTTTAAATCTCCCAGCCCATCCAACATCAATTGTAATGCCGGTGTACTTCTAAATGTCAGTGTCCTTCCTGCAAACAGCACCTTCCAGCGGTTACGGAGTTCCTGCGCCCACTTCAGGTTACGGGCCACCCGCGCCAAGCTATGGTATGTTTCAATTTCCCGCCTTGATTGTATAACTTTCCCTAGCGTAAATAAGTTTCCCTGGCATAGAGTGCTGGTTTCACTTTGGTCTCTGAGCCGATTTATGACTTAATTATCATCGAGTGAAAAAATTCTTGAGTGTTTTCATGTCTTCAATGAACTGCGTTTTGCAGTGTACGTGCCTGAGAATTTAGTTTTATCTTCGTGTCACTTTTTTTCAAGGCCAATGAGCTAATCGGAAAAAAGTTTTAGTTTTTCCAACCATTTCTGCATTTTTCTGGAGTAATTTTATTACAACTCATTGTTGTATTTACAGCTGCTGCCGCTCCTTCCTATGCTGTTCCTGAGGCTCCAGTCCATCAAGCGCGTGAGTATTTCGAGATCTGAGTACAGTATCGTACTGTTCACTGACTGACCAAATAAATGTGTATCTATATTGACGAATTGTAATTCTCCTTTCCAGCATTTATCGGATACGAAGCTGAGTTGGCTTACAAGCCCCGAACTTTCCTCTACAACGCCGCCCCCAGTGGCTACGGTAAAAAAGGCGGCTTTGACAAGTCCGGTGGCTACGCTGCACCCAGCTACGACTCGGGCAACTACGTCTTCTTGCCGCTAGTCTTCGCCAAAGACGGCAAATCGGGCTTCGAAGACGGCGCTGGTGAGGCCGCCTACCAACCCTCGGGCAAGTTCGCCTTCATCCCGCTCAGCTTCGCCAAGGAGGACAAGGATTACGCCGGCGGATACGATTCCCCCGAACCCGCGTATGGATCCGGCGGCACTGGCGGCGACCGTTATGTCTTCATACCGTTGAGCATCAATAAAGGCGACAAGGGTAAAAAAGGTGGTTCTTCGGGTTATGGTTTTGAGGGTGCGGCTGACGGCTTGGGCTTCGGCAAGAAGTTCTCCAAGTTATTTTAACTGGTTTTTTCTCTGATGTCCGGGGATTTTAAGTGTCGCGCATGGTATTTATTCGGAGTTACCGTTTTTTTTTAATTTTTCACTCTTTGGGATTTTCAGAAAATACAAATAATTTTTTACGGCGGCAATTATGCATTCGTTTTTATTATTCTTCGGAGTTGAAGAGGACTGCAGCATAATTACCTTGCAAACGAAGGGTCCGACTGTTCTGTGTAAGATTTAAATGACGAAAGGTTGGTTGATGATCGGAATGCTCGATGTATATTTTATTATATACAATGAACGCCAATGCAAGGTTCTTGGCGCAGTGACCATTTTGGATGCACAGTACAGTATCTGACACAATACCGTATTTCCATGATAGTGTGGGTCCAGTTATCGTACTTTCATATGACGAGGAAATGTAGGAAGGTGACCTTGTTCGGCTGAAAAGAGGATTGGGCGCAGCCTCTACATTAACGTTGTATGGCGAATACAGCACCTCCGACTGCAGGGAAAGTGTGTATAGTGACGCACAAGTGCGCGCACTTGTTAGGTTCTAGTATGTTATCTGTGGTTTGAGTGCTCATCATTCGCAACTTGCTTCCGGTTCAATGTGTTGATTGCCGAACATATACAAGTGGTATAGCGGGAAAATAGCTTGATTTGAACGTTTAATTGTCTCTGAAGTGCATCGTATAACTACAGTACAGTATACAATATTGTTTCTTAGAAGTAATTTAAGCGAAACTCGAATGTTGGTGCACGCATAGATGGAGGCAGTAGTTAGATATAGCTGCGTCGCAACAGGAGTCGGCTTGTTTTCCCGGTGATCAGTCTGAAGTCCTCGAACTCCCGAATTCGTAGCCCATTTTCCGATTCGGCATTGTGTGAAGGAATCGTGTTACTGTTAGACCGAGATGATCGTGATCCGTTTATCTTCCAGGATTTTTGCTTCGCTTTGAAAGAATACTTCGATAAGTGCAATGGCAGATTCGAAAACTGGAGTTAAGCGGGAAATGAGCCCCGCAGATGGTTATAACGACCACACCTCGGCCAAGCGTTCTCGACCTGAAGCTGACAATGCCGATAATGCGTGAGTGAAAAAGTATACCGGAATGGACATGTAAAGAACGATTCTTCTTTTGATATGATTTTCAGCAAAATTTTCGTCGGAGGACTGTCTCTTGACACGAATGAAGGTGAATCGTCTGGGATTTGTTCATGGGGTGTGCGAATTACTAAACCGCGTTATTTCAGATTCATTGATGCACTACTTTTCGTCTTTTGGACACGTCAAGGAGTGCATTGTCATGATGAACGTCAAGACGGGGTGTTCACGCGGATTTGGTTTTGTGACGTTCATGGATCCCGCGACGGTGCAGTACGTTATTTCGACTCATCCGCATCACCTTGATGGTAAAATGGTGAGTCATTAATGATATCAACGAAGAAACTAGACTCAGATTTGCTTCTTCGTTGTTCCACAGATTGACCCGAAGCGATGTTCTCCACGTTCTGAGCGTCCTGAAAAGCGAGACGATTCTCCGAAAGTTTTCGTCGGGGGTTTGCCGCCTACGGTTACCCAGTCGGAACTGGAAATTTTCTTCAGTCAATACGGTACCGTTACCGAAGTCATCATCATGTTCGACCAGGAGCGGCAGCGTCCGCGAGGTAACTTATTAAAATATACGTGTATAACCCGTATTATTAATTAGTGGGCAACTCTAGCTTAATGTATACTTTGATCATTACGATTCTTTAGGATTTGGCTTTATAGGCTTCGAGGCTCCGGACGCGGTTGACAGACTTGTTGAAGAGCATTATGTGACCATCAGTGGCAAGAAGGTACTTCTCAAGGAAAAGAGCTAATGATGACGTCTGAGGTTGAACGAGTGTTGTAATGCGACTTGTCCCAAAAAAGCAAATCGTAGTTGTTAAACCATTCTAGTTTATTCTCTTGTATACCTTCGTTACTCGCGAAGCTATGCTTCATCTAGAACAGTATTTTCCTGCTACTTGTTAACTTGTGATTTTAGGCGTTCCATTTTTTCGTCAGGTTAATTCTTCGATTAGACCTGACCTAACAGGCGCAAGTAGCGCATCCATAGTTGAATGAAAGTAGGTATTTATGCATATTCCGAATATTAAATTTGTATTTTTTGGGACGTGAAGCAACGATGGCTCAGGGAGTTCAGTTTGCTTCTTCTATTTTCATCTCTTTCTCCTTTCCTAATTTTTCGATGCGTTAATTTTTATTTCCTCGGCATGAGCTGAGCGTCGATTACCTGAACGGTTCGCAGATCTAATATTGATTGAAAATGTCGCATTCAACAGGTACGACTCTTCTTCGTAAATTTCATAAAAAATCATTAGTGACAGGAATTGTCTTCCTGAAAATAGTTTTTGCAACGTGCATTGCTTAATTAAAGCCTTAGTTCTGAAAATTTGCAGAAAATATTGATGGAAAAGCTGATCTTGAGTTCGAAGGGAAGTTCAATTCAAGGAGATTCAGAGATACGAGTGTTGCTCCTTTTGAATTCGACTGAAGTATTCTTTATTCTTGATGTTACGTATTCAAAGAATAGAGCACATTCTATTGCGAGTTTTGAAAATTTTTGGTGTTCAGCAATTTCCAAATGATTTGTTGAAGGCTGGAAGTTACTGCTATCTTTAAAATTTTCGTTTCTCTCCTATTTCATCTCTCGACACTTCCAGGCACTTGAGTCTTCTTTGAAAATGTTCTGAAATTTTGTTTGAAGGTTGAAATAAAGCGAGCTGAACCGAGGAATGTAAAAAGTCGTCCACAAATAAGCACGAACTACAACCAGAATTCGTACGGGAATTACAATCAAGGTCCAAGGCCATACATGGGTCAAGGCCCGAGATGGATGGGACCTGGGCAGAACATGGTTAGTCTTCAAATTTTTTGCCTTGGTGTCTGATGCCAAAGTTTTGCTTTAATTTTCATCAAAGGGTGGTCCCAATCAAGATTGGAACGAGTATGGTGGGCAAGGAAACTGGGGAAATTGTGAGTTCTGCTTTTTTTAACGACCCTCAGTACAGTATCATCGTCGACGAATTAAATTTGAAGAGGTGTTGAATGAAAAGGTTAACGCATGGTTTTCACTTCAGATGCTGGAGGGGATGGAAGTTGGGGTCCTTCGAATATGGGTGGACCCCAGCAGTGGGGACCTCGTCCGGGTAAGTCACAGCGTTTTGTACGTTCGATTTCAGTGACATGATGATGAATCACGTGAGCGACGGGCGAACTGAGTTTTGATGAGGCCAGCTCACTCTGAATTTGTCACTGAAATTTTCAAAGAAATCGAATTTTCCTTGGGGTATTCAGAAGTCCTTGTCTGAGTCCCGTAGAAAATATGCATTGAAAACCTCCTTGGATGAAACGCTTTCTCCTTCTAACCTGAAAAACTTGAATTTTCTGGAGGTCTTCTTGCTCTTAAGTTTTGACACAGGAAAGGGAAAAGCGAAACTTAATGTTCTTTGAAAGGGAGTGAAAGACTAATTGAGCAAGTAAACCTTTGCCTCCGAATTCAGTATCCTTCTGACTCATTTAAGAAGTAATTAAGGCACAGAACTTGACCAATTACAATATCCTTTAAATAATCTTCTGTCCCCTCAAAGAAAAAAGTGCAAAAACAATTTTTGATGTTTCCATAGAAGCTCAATTTGAAGATTTTCGACTGTAATTTTCTTTTTGTTTGGCGGAAGGTGGACCACCGCAACAATATGGACCTGGCGGACCCCAGCAAAATTATGGACCGGGGCAGAATTACGGACCGCCACAAGGGGGGCCGCAGCAGAATTATGGACCACCGCAAGGTGGCCCTATGCAAAATTATGGCGGGCCACCCGCGGGAGGACCTGCGCAAAGTTACGGTGGACCACCTGCAGGAGGGCCTCCGCAGAATTATGGTGGTCCTCCAGCTGGAGGGCCTCAAAATTACGGTGGTCAGGGGGGTTGGCAGTCGGGTCCAATGGATCCTCAAGGAAACTATGCATCGACTGACACTTCATATGGTAAGTTCGGGATCTGTCGTTTTCTGGTGAACTTTGATGCAGCCCCAAGACTCCATGAACCATTTGGGGATTTAACAAAATAAATTCTTTCGGCTGTTGAGTTTCCCCAGCGATACTTGGGACAACCAAAGAATACGCTGAGCGTCGAACGGTGTATATCATCGTAGAGGAGGAGTTGAAGGAATTTCTGTGATTACCGAACTAATATATATCTTTCTGCAGACGTTCGGTATAGAATCCGTAATCAGAAACTAATTCATCGATGGAATAATGCGAGAATCATATCCTGAAAAAGTTCTTGAGAGTATGACATCAATTTCGGATTTATTTTTTTCGCGATTTAGGACCTCCGCAACATGCTCCCGCGCCGGTACCTCCGGCCGCCCCTGCTGCAGGCGCCAGTAACTTTTGGGCGCAATGGAATGACACGAGTAATCAAGCTCCTGGTGAGAAATGAAGTCTATGCTTTGCTTATGTTTTATACGTGTGGTCTTGCAAAGAATTCCGCCGAAAATGATCTTACTTTGTTCGGAAAATTGGCTTTGTAACTACAGGGAAACGTCAATTTCTTTGTCATACAATCTTTTGAGGTAATAATTGAGTCAAAATAATATTTCAAGTTTTCCCTGTCATTGAAAAGAGTACTGGCTACTTCAATTGCTCTAAATTATTCAATTCACTATAATTACTCAAATACCATCTGTCCCTTTTTTCTCATTATTGAAAGAGTGGAAACGGAAGTCATTGGTTTATGTCATTGGTTGGTACTTGGAATACATTATTCAAGAAGCTTAGGTGTGCATTAAATTTGATTACAATGGAAAATTTAGACTGATTCCAACCGAACCACTTGAGGTAATGGAAAATTGGAAACAATTTAAAATGAGTTGATGCAAGGTTCAATTCATGTCTAAATTCAAATTCGGGTGTTCTTATTTTTGAAATATTTCGGTTTTAGAGTTACAAAAAAATGGGCTTGGCATCTTACTCGAGGATACGACTTTTCCAAAATTTTAAGAATGAAAAACCCTGGTGGGCATCTTGCTGGAGGGTGCATGATACTTCATTGAGTGAATACGGTATCAGTTTTGCATGTATATTTAAGACCCCTTCAATAATTCACTTCAGGTTATTGATAAGCATGTGACCACAGTCTGAAAATGATGAGTCAAGTGAGCGACGGGCGATCTGTAACCTTCGTGTCAGAGAATAGCTCACGCTGATATAAACTTAGACGTACAATATTCTCGAATGATGATTAGAGGCCTGGATTCTGAAAAACTGATTTGATTTCGCAGCTCCGGTTGCCAAACCGGGTGCGGAAACTGTACAATACCCCATGCCGGGTGCGCAGGGGGTAGGTGCTGGATTGAATCAGACCCCCGGTGGGCCAGCTGCCGTACGTGGGCCATATCCATCTTATCAGAACCAAGTGAGTCAGGAACTTCCTCTTGCTGTTTTTGTTATTTCGAGTCGGTTTTCCTCTCGTACGCTTGACGAGATTCGTTTATTTGAGAATAGAATTTAAGCGATATTATCCCTTCTAAATTTAATCTTCTAGGGGATGAACGCGAACGCTCAAGGATGGAATCAGCAAGGTTATGGGGGATCGGCTCATCAACCTGGTGGTGAGTTCTTTCGCAATTTACTTCAACTTTTTTATTATGTCTTCTAATTCGGCGAGAAATCTGTATCGACAGGATTTGGAGGAAACACTGCTGGTGGTGGGCGATTTCCGCGCCCGCCGAACCCTCAAGGAGGTGCGAACAAGCGAGGGGGTTATCAGCAGCCGTACAGGAGTTAATGACTGATGCTATCGAAGAAATTGATGCGTGTTTTTCCTCATTTTTCCGCCTCTGGGCAGTGTTTTTATGCTGTACGTGTGACTTTTTTGTTGTTGCGGTTATTCCACCACGAAGTCGTGATTTTAATGTTCATGAGGAGCACCCTTTGTCTTCAAATTACGTCATTCGGGGAAAGGCTGGCTAGTAGATCATGGTTTTTTTTTTGACGTAGGATTTCTCGTAACCCGTGGCAAGTCTGATTATATTCGTTCCGCCAATCTTCTTACCGTGGTTTCTCATCACGCAATGGGTATTCGAGAAGTTTCTGTTGCTGTTTTTTTTTTCTTTGGCGGCGGAAATGTAAGTGCATCTTCCCATTTCCTGCTCATAATTTCTCGTATTGTTTGAACTTCGTTTTAACTGCAAGTGGTTTCAAAGAGCTGAGGGGCGGTTAAATATGAGCTTCAAAGTCCTTAATGAATTGATCTGTATTCGGGATTAGATTGGGTCGAAGTTAGGTCGTTCCTTTTTTCTAGCTGAAAATCTCCTATTTGCCTTCGAAACCCGAGTACTGTAAGGCAATGTAGAAATGTGGAGGACTTTGATTTTCGAAAGCGGCACAGCTCGGAGCAAGAATTCTTCTTTGTTGTGATTGACCTTTTTTTTTGTTGCTGGAACGAACGAATGAATGTTTGTTTTACGACACGAAAGACGCGGTTGATTAAAGGAAATCCCAGGTGAGCATCCCTGGATCCCACTCGAAACGTGCATTCAATGTTTCTCGCAACTGCCGGAATGATTCGTGCATATTCTTAATTCGATTGAACGTAATTTTTGTTTTAATTTTATTGGGACTCCATGTTCAATGGACTTTCTCTGATGGTGTTGGGTGATAACAGATTCTGTACAGTAGAATCTTATGACAAATTTTTGCTGGCGAGTACTGTAATTCGTTCAGTCATGGATGTTATCCACGAGGATAAGGTTAAAATGAACCCCTTTTTCATCATTATTTCTACAGGTCAATTTTTGAATTGCTTGAGCAACTGGAAGTGTGGTGAGAGCAGTGCAAAGTAGATCACAGGAGAATCTTATTGGTCTAACGAATAATGAGTACACAACAAACTTTTTTTGATTCCTTGTCGTTACCTGCATTTTTTTTTTATCGTCTTTACCACATATTTTTCTGAGTAACATGTCTAGTATCGACGTTGGAAAATTTTTAATGAAATTCCGGAGCAACTCCATATATGTACTGAATAAGAGGTAAAATAGCTATTAACTAAAAAGCATCAAGCGTCATAATGGCGAGTGATGAGAAACGGCGTGTGTACGCATCAACTAGCATTTCAAACTGTGATTGCACACTGTTACACAATTATCGTTCGTTACATATTTCAACGAAAAATAACAAGTCGTTTACTCCTGCAACAGTAATACAGGACTGTTCTTCAGGCGGGATAATATATAAATCAGTACTACGGCTACTGCCACTATTATTGGTTCAGTACAAAGCGTAATGACGTCAATAAATGGTAGATCTGCTGTAGTTGCAAATTCGTTTAGTCGTTTTCAAAGACTGATGTCGAAAAGTGGTGCTGGTCTTTGATCTGAAGCAGAATTATCAAGGATAGCTCAATTGTTTCTCAATTTTCTGGTACAGTATCGGCGGATGTGTAAGTGGATAACTGTATTGGTGTGCCGATAGATGGAAGCAGTAGTAGAAAGTAGCTGCTCCTTGCTTCTGTTCGCGCTGGGATATCCCCGAGTTTTTCAGGTGAATTGCCGAAGTTCCCTTTCATTGTGCGAAGTTACTGAATTGCATGTCCTAATTTCGCTGTGCCCTTTCGCATGTAGATGTTGCGACAGTGCTGACTTAGAAAACCGAGTGATATATTCGTAAGATGTCGGATGCTAGTCTTTCAAGTTTGCTGCGACAGTATGAAGAACAGTTCGGAGTGGTTTCTGCCGATCTGGTGTCGAAAATAGGAGAAATAAAGTCCTCTCCGAGTAGGTCACGTAAGTGTTTCTGTGGTAAATTGTCTCAGAACACACGAATCATATTCTTGTATTGTATTGATTATTCCAGGGGTTTTGGAGGACGAAGCTGAAGTATTACTCCAAGATGCAAAAGATATTGTAAGTACTGTATTTCGCCTTTCCTCTGCTCTCAGTCTTGGAATTAGCAATGTTTATATCAATAGCTAGAGCAAGTGGGGTTGGAAATCCGGAGTTTGAATGGAGTCGAGAAACAGAAGTGGATTAACCGTTCAAAATCCTACCATGCCGAACTGAAACGAGTTATTAGGGAGCTGAAGCTCGCCCTAAATGAACCGGTGGATGAGGAGACCAGCCGAGAGCAGCTTTTCGGTGCAGCTTTGAACAGTGATCAGAAGCAAAAACTGCTCTCATCAGTTGATAAAGCAGAGGAAAGCTCAAGACATCTGAACCAGGGTTTCGCTGCACTACAGGAAACTCATGAAATCGGTGCCAAAATTCTGGCTGATCTGGATGGCCAAAGGGAAACTCTTCTACGTTCTCAACACAAAGTCAGTGTTGAACTTGCGCTATTACAGTATATTGTTTTGTTCTGAACCGAGGAAATTTTAAATCTTTCGAATTCGGATACACTGTGATAGCTGTCCCTGTGAACGTGGTCTATCTTCAACTAACGCTAGGAAAATGGTGACTTGTACTGAGTTGATGCTCAGATCGTCACTAATCTAACCTCAAAGTCATTCATTCAATTACTGTACAGTGTGAATAGAAACTTAGTTGTACGCGTTTGCCGCAAGGATCTAATTTGCCTCTCAATGCTCGACGCATTACTTCGTTAAGTTTGCAACTTCGTTTTGTTTTCCAGATGCGAGGAATGAACTCGGACCTCGACGAAAGCTCTCGAGTCGCAGGGAGGATGATACAACGAGTGAACCAAAACAAAGCAGTACTTCTGGCCGTATTGGGAACGTTTTGTTTGGCAGTGACGGGCATAATTTATGTTGCATCGACCAGGTAGTGATATAAGCAGTCTTGAAATATTTATTGAATTATATTGAAACTCGCGAAGGAAATCTATTACAATCAATAATTTTTTTTTCTTGGGAGCCGGTGTCAAGTTTGCTTTTTTTTGTGAAACATTTTTGGAAGCTTGAAATGCACTGCGGCTGTTGAGGAAGAAACTGTTAATTCTTGTGTGATCAGTTTCATGTTCAGACAAAATAGATTCATCAAGCTCCTTGATGCTCCAATCCTTTACCATGGAGCACACATTCATCCTTTACAAAGGAAGATCTGAAGTCGGAAGTCATCAATGATGGGCCAATGGAATATTGATTCAGTTGTGTAAGGTATTGTTAAGTAATGTTTTAATTACAGTCGCACCTCTTGAAGCCGCCACCAGCAGTTTGCTAGTTTTTCGGTTTGAAAAAGATGATGGTTCATAAAAAAACTAGAATAAAATGAAGATCAAGGATAATGGGAAATGGAATTATTATTCTCTGGAAAACAAACAAAATGATACTGGGATGCGTAAGTTATACAGTATTCAGTTGAAATTCCCAAGAAGAAAATTATGTCATTTTTGTGTTTGTATATCTTCAATTTGAGTACTCTCAAAGAAACATGACGCTTGGTGGGCTATTTAAGACCAAATTTATTGACGGATTATGTTTGAGTTGTCAAAAATTTTGGCAGATGGCGTTTTAACAAGGTTTCCAATGCTACTATTGGTAGGGAAGATTAATTTTTAAAAGTAAATTGGCAGTTGAGGGTTTTGGCTTATTATTGGGCTTCTTAATGAGGTCTACTGTTAAATCTTACTATATTAGTCTGTTGCCATTCTCTAGCATCCGGGAAGTGTCACAATGGTTCTCTGTAATGGGCTTTACATTTCGAAACATCAGCAGAAATTTCCCAGTGGTTACGTAAGGTGTGATATTACTGTGATTGAACATTTTATATGATGGTTTGAAAATTGTGTGTGTTTTTTTCCCTCGAAGGTACTGAGGATATCAAGAATCCTCCAGTAGTCTAGTAGGAATCTCACTAATGCCCAACGTTTTTTGGTATGCCGGGTAGTTATTTTGATGCGTACCCTAGCTAATGCATTTTGAAAACCTGAAAAGTTCCAAGTCATGATTGTCTTAGCCATTCCATGAGTGGCGTTTTGATGCACAGTTTTTCTCAGGAGTAAAAATGTCATGAAATTCCATCTAAGATGCTTGCGATGAGTTTATGTTGAAATACAGTACGTTCAAGAGTGACGAAACGTACAATTTTGTGATGAATGTTTTAATAAACCATTTACTATTCTGGTAAATATGGAAGTAACCACCTATTGTGGAAGAAAATGCGGTATATGGAATGTTGGAATCTATACATGGAATATATTGTGAATGAAATGATCATTGCATTTTATATTACCTCAAAGGTACTGAGGAAATCAGCAATCCTCTAGTAGTATAATAGGAATGTTGCTAGTGTACAATATTACAACCTTCCTTGTAAATGTTTTCCAGGGTTTTATAGGGTCTCATTTCACCAAGAGATTACACTGTAATTAAAGACTTCGTATGGAATCTCAGCTACTAAATGCTTCTAAAGAATGTTTTTGAGAAACTATCTTTCTGAAAATTCTAATAAACCAAATGTAATACAGTACTAACATACCCGAATGTACATTACTAAGCTCCTCTTTTTTATGAGAAATTGAGGCAGAAGAGTTGGTGTATGTGGGTTTACTGTAATAAATTATAAGGAAAAAATCTGGAAACCATATTGGTGTAAGCCAAAAGGTAAATTCAGGTGAAAAAGTATGGAAAATAATATTTTCATGAGCAATTCTGATCAAATTCTTCATGTGTTCTTTTTCAATTATGAGGTTATTGTTCTGTTACAAATTATATTTTACCTCATTGACAAATTTTGATTTTTAGGCAACAGGAACTGGGGAGTGTGTGTTATGTTTTATTGGAATAAGTTTTTGGGTAATTTTTTGAAAAAATCAAAGTGGGAGGCTTTTGGAGGACATATGGTTCTTTAGTAAATGCTGTACAATAATACTACATTGAACTCAATGTTTTTGAAAAAATTCTTGGTACGTCAGGCTCAATGAGAGAAAAGATGCCATCCCCAAGCTTTTCGCGAGGTTCTGCTAATTTATTCAATTTCTTGGGTATTTCTCCAAATGTAAAAGAATATTTTCTAAAATAAAAATAAGGCGAATTTCTGAAGTGCAGAAGGACCTCGTAGTAAGACATGTAGTGAGTCTATTACATTTTATACAATTCTGTGGAAGAAAATCATCATCTTGTGACGGTTCATCGCATGCATACATTGAAAACAAGGGCCGCTTTTGTATGAAAAGACTCAGTTCGCAGTCGACTGACGAAAGAGGATGCTGCGAAAGTCTGCTTTTACTGGCAGCCTACCGAAGTGCATGATGATGATGCACACGACACCCTCAGGCAAAAATGATGCTATGCAGAATCATCCATTATGCATGCTGCTGATGCATAACAACGGATGTCGCTGACCTGAGCGAAAGTTTTCTCCACGCATCTCATCTAGTATTCTTTACCAGCTTATTATTGTAAACTCACGTTTTCAGCTGCGAAAATAAAACGAAATAAAAGTAATCGCATGCATGACTATATGAGGGTCTATAACGTGCTTTTAGAGCAGTTTGTTCGTCTTCTGGTCTTATTTTCCGTTACATTTTGAAAAGAAGAAAGGTTCTTGGAGTACAGTAGAATTAAGTTTCATGCGATATACTACAGTATACATGTGATTGAGATGAGGAGAATTTGTTTCATGACCACAGCTATACGTGCAACTTTCTCATACTTGCAGGGGTTGTTAGATATAAATCTTACAATGGCAGTCATTTACTTTTATTAATGTTGAATGAATGAGCATGTACATTTTAACCTGCAATATTTGACATTGGTTTACTGATGCGTAGCAATGAATTTTATACTGGCTCTGTTTGAGATATAGTAGAGAGAATAAAATTAATTCAAAGAGCACACTTTTAGAAAGAATAATGTTTACTTGAGAAATTTACATCTTTTGTTAATTTGCTGGTATGTATAGTTATCTCATTTGAGCACTTCTGCAGATTTGAGAACTGCAGGTCAAAACAGCGAGGTTACCTTGGATAAATATCAGATTTTGAGGTACAGTATTATTTTTACCAAGTCCAAAACACAGGATGAAAAAATCCTTCAAAAGAATAATTTAGAAATTCCTTCATTATTGCATCTCTTCTTTTTTTCAGACGCGTTGCCTGGGAGATCTTGGAAACTTATTGGGTGCGCCCAAAAAATCATTTTGTGGTACAAAACTTTTGGAACAATCCTAGACTTAGACCTATAACAAAAGCAGGTTAGGCCAACCTGACTGTATTATGTTGTTTCAGTATGTGGCCAACTGTAGAATATATTGGTGTTTTGAGTGCTTGGTCTTTAAAAATACATGATATGAAAGCTTTTATTCTTTTCAAAATGGAGAATATACTTAAGTCTACCCAAAAATTCAGGAAACTGAGAAATTCTTTCTGTTGTTGAAGGCACCTCAAACTTGTTTTATATTGTGTTTACCTTTCTTCCATAATTTCATAGTGGCAAAGCAATTCATCAGGCATATGTACAGCTACATAAATAAATTCACATAAGTAATTCAGTGGGTCCCTAAATGCTGAATAAGGTCATCCGCATTCCCATCAGACAAAAAATCTCCAAACCAAAATTTACTGGCAGCAAAATTAGATCTCACGACGTTAATTTCAAGCCTAAAATTTACAATTAAGAGCGCACTCCCCCATCTTTCTGAAATACACAAGTTTTTAGGTCAAACAAGGATGATGGTTTGTGTGCCTTGATAAGTACAGTCATTGATTGAAATACATACCTTACTTATCTTGCAGAACTCAAGTGTTGGACAGAACAAAACTCATCTTAGAACAGACTTGATGCAGTATTTTGTACCCACTTATTCGTGAAAAGTTTTCCTGAAATAGATGCCATTCTACACTTTGCTGCTGTATAACTTCAGGATCAATCCCACTACTGGTGCAGTTGGCCCCACACAAAAACAATACCAAATAAATTCTTTCAGGAAGTATACATATATGAGATTAGAATCACAGGTAGTAAGGAAGAAGGAGGGAAAAGCGGGAAATGACTCAAGTCCCTGGCTGCAGAATTTCATTGTATGCTTGGGAATGAAAAAGAAGGAAGAAAAAAAAAACATGTGCCTCCAGGGCATTCCCTGGACTCGTAAGGGCACAACAAACCCCCTGAGGAGAAGGAATAAATCCAACGTCAGCATTCCCCTCACTGTTGCATCCACCAGTGGTGTGACTTGGACTTGAAACCTTGAACGAAAGAGCTTATATATCTTGCAAAAGTTTTTGTCCATGTAATTTTTCTTAAAATTTCCCTTTCAGAATCCTTATTTGTTCCTCAGCAGCAGTTTACAGCATTGTTTAGTTATGAAAATTTCTCAGACAACATTTTGTGACCACATGAGTCTATAATGATGTTATGAACTTGTTTCTTTCAACAGCATTTGGAATATGAAGTGTCTAAGAACAAACTTTTTAAAAGCTTAAAAAATATAGAAGTTGGTCAATTTTGTTTGAAGGTTCATATTAGGATAATTCATCATGCAGGTATCACATGGTTTGTTAGAAAATCATTCAAGTCATTGTGTGATGTTTAAAAATTTGTATAATATGTTTCTGTATGCAATATATACAGTCTTGCATGGCAGAATCTTGTTACAGTACATGGAAGCCATTGGAACCTGAAAAAAATTTTCATATGGCAACAAAAGTAGTATTTGTTCCCCAACTCAGATAACATTGCTGCCATATGCTAGAAGAATCTTTGAAAAATATTGTATTGTACATACAGGCATTTTAGTTCAAGAGAGAAGAAAAAGGGTATGATACTGTACTACTGTAATCATCAGTTGCTCATTTTTCAATTCACAATTTTTCCAAAAAACAACAGGCTTCTTATTTTGCTTCAACATAAATTCTCACAACTGTCCAGCATTTATATTCAAAAATATACCATTTTGAAAGGGAAGTAATGAAATTTGCTGATCTAAACTTGCCGATATTCGCACAAGTGAAATTCGTACTCCGTGTTATTGCAACACCGTCAACAGGTGAATGTTTT